ATTTGTGTTTATTTTTTTGTTCATGCCAAACTAAAGATTTTATCCATCATTCTGTTGACAAAGCCCTGTGACCAGTTGATCCTGGTTTGCGATTCATGTTATTGTGAAGATAAGTAGGCTAAACACAATTTGAAAGGACACCACACAGCAAGAAATACCGTTTCCCTGTTAGGTAAACTGAATTTGATGTAGTGGAGTTTTGGAGTGGGAATCAGAATGTTATGGAATCAAACGAGGGATGCAGTCGTTGGTAGGAGGTGCTTTTCTGTTTTTGCAACAAGTGTGGTCCACCTCTAATGCGGTAAACGGGAGAAACGCGTCCCCCGCCCGGTTCCTGCGGCCTCCTCATGGAGCGTGTGCGCGTCCCCCGGCTCCCCCGGGCACGGTGTCGAACGCAGGACTGCGCCACCGCCTCCTCCTCCTCCTCCTCCTCTTCCTCCTCTTCCTCCTCCTCCTCCTCCTCCGACGGGGGGAGCCTGTAATCCGATCCCCTCCGGAAGCGCCGGCGCGCAGCCAGTGAGGAGGGAGAGGGCACAGCTCCGCGCTCTGACGCTCCCCCCCGTCCACTCCTCCCCCTTTTCTGCCGAGTGTCACCCTCTCCTCCTCATCTGATCACTCCCTGCTCTGCGAGGCTGCTCGGCGGTGCACCGGCTTCCAGGATCGTCGCAATCGCATTGTTCACCCGTCGACCCAGTCCTCCCCCCCCCACCCACCCCCCCCCCCCCTCCCTCCCGCTCCCTCCCTCTCTCCCACCCCCCCCCCCCCATCCCCTCCCCTGGGTCGGGTGGACGCGATACGAAGGGGGCCGTTTCGCCCCCTTTTCCGTGGGGAACTACCGCATGCACGCCAGTCCGGTGACGTTGCCCGAGCATGTTCACATCAGAGACGGCGGCGGATTTAGCTGAGAGCTCGCTCCCCGCCGCGCGCGCACGCTCGGACTTCACCGATTGTCACTGAGGAGGAAAAAGGAAAAAAAAAAGAAAGAGGGGGAAACCGCCGGATTACCAGGATGGGGTTCTACGGCACTTTGAAGATGATTTTCTACAAAGTGAGTAGGATCCGTCAGCTCGGGCTCGCGCCAGCGTCCAGAGTCCAGAGTCCAGCATCCCGGTGTCCGTCTCGGGGCTCCGTCCCCCCCCCCCCCATGCTACCTTTGACGCGCCTCTCTTGGCGGATTGTGCGGCCACTGCGGAGGACCAGACCGCTCTTTAGTGTCCTCGGCCTTAGCGTTCCGTTAAACGGTGTAATGCACGGGTGAGATGTGGCATCCGCTCCTCCATAGTAACTTAAACTGCGCAAATGGGCGCCGTGGGTGCTTTTTTTTGGAGGGGGGGAATACTATTTTGTTTGCAGATGCGTCGGCTGTTGACGTTTGGCAGGGCTAGACTGGAATATTGTCCGTGTTTCTGTTGGATATGTCGTTGGTGGGATGCACAGGGCAGTGGTGCCTCAGCGGGGGTAGAGCTCCCCACACCTGGATCCACTGTGGGTCCTCCCTGTTCTCACAACCAAGCCCATGCCTGTGCCGTTACATTAGATTCTGTATGCACCGGGCATCCGTTTGTCCAGACTGCTGGAAAATGCCAGCCCCTTAGACCGTCCGAGTCCCTGCAGTGCTGTCCAGTTTGCAGGGTTATTATGATTCCACGCTATGCAGCCCCGGTTATCTTGAACTGACCAAAGTGACTCGTCCAGAGGTTCCCATGTGACCGGTTTGCCTCTGCCCGTCGGCTGGACGAGCCTTTTCCCTGACATTGTGCTCTGCCCTCAGGCTTCAAGCACAGATAATGGGTCACTGTGTCAGTCTGCGTGAAGCACAGTCTCTTCAAGGATGCTGGGTGTATTATGCAGGGTGGCACCCACACAATGATGTTCCCTTCAACAGAAACGAAAAGAAAAAAAGATATTACGTTGGCCATGGCTGGGAGAATTGTAATGTAAGCAAATCAGACGGTCAAGATCTCGTCCCATGTGATTGAGGATTTCAAATGGTCGGTCCTAATCGATAAACTGTCGTCCCAGTCAGTGTGTGAGGGTTTCACTCATCAGTGTTCTCAATCCATTTAGTGTGTGTTCTAACTTATTATCAGGGTTTGGAGTTGTCCTACAAAGCTTTAATATTTTAGAGCCGCTCTTTGGATGTCCTGGCAGTCTCAGAAAGAGGAGCATTTTTAGGCACGAATCCACACTAATTCCTCAGATTTGACAATCCTGCTACTTGCCAGTTAGTTTCTAAATGGCCGGTTAAGAGGTTTCAAGTGTTTTTGCACCTCATTTGGAAACTCTCTAATAACCATTTGGGACATTTTTTCAAAGATCTGAGGTTTTTCAAGTGACCGATTTTGCTCGTTGCAGCTTCAAATGAAATGAATCAACACATTATGTGAGAGTGATTGCTTTCTTCGACATATCATTAACCCTCTCCATACCCATCTGTCGAGCTCTTGGCTAGGAAGGGAAGGGGAAACCGAGGGGGGAGGAGAAACTACTCATTGGTGGTGATTTACACTTTGTTTTTCTGGTTATCTTCTCACAGGCTGAAACACAAGGTTGCGTGTTCTTTTTTTTCTTTCTTCGTTTCCGTTATCCACATATAGTTTGAGCTTTATTTAAATGTTGTTTTTTTTAACATGCACTCGCTCACAGAGGTTCACTCCCTCCTTTATTGTTTTCTTTTTTGCTCTTTAAGTCTGAAACGCACACACCCACTGCATGCATACACACACCCAGGCTCTCCTTGGCTACTGAACTGCCAATGGAGTGAGATCACCACTTTAAGAACAAGGTGGTTGGGTTTAAGAGCCATGGTCCTAACAACTGTGACTATCGCTCGGTTCCCTGTAGACAATCCCATCACACGCCCTTTTTTCTCTTGCTCTCTTTGGACTGTTTAAATAGTTTTTTTTTTTTTTTTTACCGTTTCTCCTGCTGCCTTTGCTACACAATTCCCTCAGGAAACATTTTATTTATTTGAGCTCCTCTCTTTTAACTCTCAGCAACCTCACACATGAGCTGAATGAGCAATCGGATGACAGTCTAATGTCCTGGGCCAGTTCATTTGCAGATCGTGTTGGTGTGCTCATCATGTTCTTATGGCTCCCAGAAACTCAGGCTTTGGTTTTCTATGAGTTTTTATGATGGACTGACTATACAATCCTCATCAAATGCTATTGTTGTATATGGTTTCCTAGTTCACATATGCCTTTCCTAAAATCCTCCCTCTTATTTAGCGAATTTGAGGTTACTGAGAAAAACACACACACACAATGTGCTCAGTTTAGGATGATTAGTGCTCTCTCTCTAAATTGCAGTGATGAACAAACAAAAAAGTGCACATCTTGAGGTAGACGTGTAATCTTGCCACTGTAGAGCCAGACAGTGGGGAGTCAAGTGTCCAGTGCTGTTTTCCTGTGCGGTATTTCACAATACCGCACTAACAAACCTGCATCAGAAGGGCATTGTTTGTTACAGAAGAGAGTAACTTCAAATTAAACTTGGTTTCTGTAAGCCATCATGTAATTATACTGAACGCAGTCAAAAGGGCATCATCTTCAGCACAGGTTGTCTCTGACACCCCATGAAGCTGAAGTGTGTCTGTCAACAAGAATTTGGTAGCCACTTTTTACCATAAAGCACTTTGCCACAAGTGCGGTGAATTTGTTAAAAAAAAAAAAAAAAAAAAAAAAAAGGCCACATCCCGAATGGGAGACACAAACAATTTTGAGCTTCTGATTTGCCTGTTGTCTTTGGTAATCAATTCTCTTTTTTGCCACACCTTTAGATTTTAGGCTCCTTTATGCTATTAATGAAAAGCTTTTTAATGTTTTAGACTTGATGAAGGATGAGGGATTTTCTGAGGACTTTATGCAGTGGCTATGAATCCCATATTCTTTTTCCTTTAAGTTTCCTGCATTGTATCAACAGATTAAAGCAAAATGATAAATTATTACTGGATAACAAAAATCTGTATTTTTTTTTTTACTGCACCCAAATTTCCTCTATAATTACCACTATTTTGTCTGCTCACTATATAATTTGCTGGCATTCTAACTCTGCAATTAATCTGCGGGGTGGATCAGAAATAAATATCCATGTAGACTGTTTTGCGTGTCTTTCTAATCTAGCAAAGCTTTCACTTGAAAGTAACAGTGATTAATAAATCAAACATAGCCACACTGTCGCATTGTATGTCTTATTTTGGCCGGAGAGTAAAAATCGGTGCTCATTTATTTAGCCTGCTTGTTTATTCATCAGAGCCTGGCAGGGAGATGATCACTTGCATGTGTGTTGAGAAGTCTTGCCAGAGAGTGTGGCAGGCATGGGATGGAGAAAATTGGCTCGCCCGGACCTTTACACAGGCTCCTTTGTTTGCACAGTAGGGTAGGTGGTAACAGGGACTGGGTGGTGCGTGCACATGCAGGTGATGGAGAATCACAAAGAACGGACTCGCTTGTTTTTGTCTGTGACGTGTCTGTATGAGTCACACTGTGAAAGAATGTGCTCTTTACTCTCCCTGCAAGAGTCTTCATATTTTGTGGTTATTGTGTACTCGTGGACATGCTGTACTCTCTGAGTTAGGGTGTGAAAGGGTTTGTTTGCCTCAGGGTATGATTGTGTGTGCATGCCGAGGGATCACAGTTGCTTTTTTATCTTGGGTTCCTCGTTAAAGTCACAGACATCAGTGTACATCTGTCTGCTTTGAATCTAAGGTCCCATAATGCTGGGCAGCTTCATCTACATCCACAGATGATTGTAGCTCTGCCCAATCATGGAACATTTTAGTAAATAGAATCTGTAGCAGATACATTAAAGTTTAATTTCCAATTTACATAAAGTAGTTACCAGACTTTGTTTCCTCTTTTTTCAGATTGCTGAGTTTGTGTTTCTCCTTATTTAACTATGGCTAGACTTGGATTGTGTCTTTTGTCATTTTTTTTAATTCAGTGCTACGTGCTAAGTTTTCTTATCTTTGTCTTTTCCCTTTTCTTTTTCATTCTCAGATGAAGAGAAAGTTGGACCATGGCCCAGAGGTCCGATCTTTCTCTTCAGGAAAAAAGCCCTGCAAAGGCCCAGAGTATTCGAGGTACTGTACGAGCTACTGCTCTTCACCCGTTTCACCTCCTACCAGTTTTCCTTTTGCTGCAGTTTCCCGCCTTTGTTTCCCATCTGGCACACACATAAACTAATTGAGCCCATTGTGAGAATAAATAAAAAATGCCGAGTGGCATAAACAAAGATGCTTTATACGTCCTCAAACAGAAGGAGGCTTCATGTTCCGTTGTATCTGCAGCATCAAGCCAGCCGTCCCAGATGTTTCTCTTGAACTGAATGTTTAATGCATGTGTTCACATGTAGCTACATTAACATTCAAACTGAACACAGGCACTTAACAGTAAATGTTGCTATGTAATTGGCTCCTTCTCAGCTTCCTCTCCCATTAAAAATGAATCAATAATGAAATCAACCCCCAGCTCCCCATTTTGCTGTCAGCCAGCAGAGTCCAAAGCGTTGAGGGTGCCTGTAGCATGCCTCCTCCTGCTGCCATAGGATTACAAAATACACAGGCCCCTTTTGAACTGCTCAACCACTTTTCACATCCAGACACATGAGCAGTGTCTGGGATAGAACTGAAATCTGCTATTCGTGACACGCTGAGGCGTCTGATTCAAAACTATGCTGCTGCTTTTCAGTCTTATTAGGTGTACTTCGCTAAATTGCATGCAGGTCTGTGCCTTTATGAGGGACTCTGTGCTGAGAAAGACTTAAAAGGGGGTTGATCCAATAAAGTGAGCATTTAGAAGGCTTTGTGTGTTTTAGGTCTTTATTTTGTTGTATCCCTTCACTATAACAGTAACTTGGTTTAATCTCCCCATAAAAACCGAATGGAGTTGATTATGGAGAGTGCTATGTAATATGTAGTTATTTTCCCTGTTTGCCAGCTGAAGAGAAGCTCAGCTTTGATTGCTAAGTCCCACCACAGCAAACACAAAATGCTTCCATTAAATTTTTTTTTTTTTAAAGTGTATCTAACTTTGTACCTTCTTTTGTGATATTTTTGACCAAATCATTTGCATTAAAATGTTCTGACTAAACTCATTCAAACACTGAGTGTGACTAAGTGTTTATGATTCTATGGGCTTTCACCCAGCTGTGTAATGCCTGCTGTGGGCTCTTTGCTTTTAAAGGTCTCATATCAATGTTGAACTTATGTTGATTTGTTTTTGCCTGTGAATAACAGCCCAACAGGGATTGTCCCGTGTCCAGCCACACCCACCACATTTGGCCACATCAGAACAGCCAATGGCCAGGGGCAACAGAGGCGACGAATCACCTCAATCCAGCCACCCACGGGTCTCCAAGAATGGCTCCGAACATTTCAGGTGGGAGTCAGCCTGGGAGTTATTATTTTACCTTCTTTCTCTTTTTATTCTTCCTTCGGTGACACTAAACCCCACGAGCAAAAGCTCATCAGAAAGCAGGTGTTCTGTCCAATCACTGTTCACTTAGTCTCAGGGATAATTGCCGCCTTGTTGTTGTGCCCTAACACATTACCATAGGCACTGTAGCGTGGAATTGGAATTAGCTGTACCTGTTGAGACTAAAAAGCAGAGTTAAAAGATCACACAGGTCTGGTATGGATCTACACTCTGAATTAAACATCCTCTCTGATCCCCTGAAATTGCCAAGTTATGGCATTGTTAATCTGAGTTATTCGTTGACGTTAATGTTTATTTTTTATATTTCAACCCTCTTCAGTATCTGTACTTTTTACTGGATGATAGTTTACCATGTATTTATGCACTTTTTAAATCTAGTCTTCCTAATGCCATAAGCTATAAAATGTCTGGCTTGTTAGTATTTAGTGTTAATGACTTCAGACCTGAAGGAAATAAGATCTAAACATATTAGCCAATTGTGGTGCCCCAGACACCTTTTATAATGAGTTTGCATGTATTTCATTACCTAACAGAGTTTAAGCCTATTAATGAATGGGATAGCTTGTTGATCCTGTGACATCTTGGTATTCTCTATATATATTAGTTCTCAGCCCGGACCTGTGTGGGTGTTTAATCACACAGCACAGTTTACAGGCATATGAACCCTGGAGTCTGCATTCTGTACATTCCCCAGTCCGGTCTCAGCCTGTGTGAAGCCTCTGGGATAGACAGAAACACAAATAGCAGACAGGTTACTGTACCTGTACAGGAAATGTCTGGGGGCTGTGCATTCTCAAATATGAAGACAAGGACGTCCATGAGGATGAAAATGTGACAATTTAAAAGACTGGTTGGAGAACGGTGGGATATTGCCAAATTTTCCTGTTAAATGAGAACGAACTGAGAAAACCAATGTCCCTCTGGATGTCTGTAGATGTCAATACAGCTGCCAGCTCTTACATTGACCAAGTATTGAAAAGTGTAATCAAAGGTTAATCAAACTGTGACCAAATGAAATTAAATCCACCCCAAAAAATCTTTATCTGAAGCTCACCAACTGAACTATTTAATTTAACTAGAACTAAAACTGTCAAAGTGTTTCAATTATCGGCTAAATGCATTGTTTCTCATAGATAAATAAAATAATGTACACAACTTTTTAAAACTGATTGAAGTTAAAAGTTTTCTGCTCATATTCAAAATGTATTTTAAAGATTACTCTTTTTTAAAAAGACTTTGTTGCTCAGATTTTTTAAAACAGAGCAAGCTTTCTGGACATATAACACATTAAAGAGTAATATCATATTTAAGTTTTTCAAATGTTATAACTTAACTCTCAGCTCGGACCATGAGACCATGTCTTAAGCTGGCCTGAATGCTCTGAATGTCCAAGTGCTGACATTAAGATCAGCTTTGTTACTATCACTGCTGCTTTGTGTGATGGGAGCCCGATTTCTCTTGGAAACTGAATATATGGAAAACTTGTGCAATATTTTGCAATGATTGCAGCTTCATAGAAATCACTGAATGAGTGGGTTAAACTTTTAATTAGATGTGGTTTGCACTTTTAAGATGAACCTCCTGGTCAACTTCCCAACCAGAACCCCCGGCTAAACCTTATAGCTGCCAAATTACAGGTGGTGTACGTGAGCCAGATTTTCCACCCTGAGCTGTAGCCTGTAATCATTGTTGGAGTCGAGCACTGCTCAGAGCGAAACAGCTGCAGCTGCTGGGTTTAACGTACAGTCAACGTTATTCGGCACCAACTGTCAAACAGATACACGTTGCAGCCTAATGAGTAAGAGTTCACAAGCAGAGTTCTTTTTGTAGTTTTTATAGATGCTGCCTCGTAATGTTCAGCTTCCTCACTGATGTGTTGGCTGGAATATGCAGGTGCCTTAACCCGCTCTGCTGCTGTCTGAGCAGGAGGAAACAGCAATGTGTCAGTCACTCTGCACATAACAGGAGGTTTCCATAGCCAAGGTTGCCTGTAAACTGGAATAGCACTTCCAAAACACCCCAGTGTGGTTGCAAGTTTTACTCTACTTAAGTAAACCTTTGTGGAGTTCAGTAGTGGATGTGCATTGGATACTCTGGTGCCAGGCTTGTGCATACCCACCTGTAACAACCGAGTTGTCAGATGTCTCTCCCTCATTTAAAGCCTTGAGGGAAAGCATGGGGTTATACAGTAAAAGATAGTTCAGAGTTTTTGTGCAGCTGGACAATTTAAATTTTGGGCCTAAAATCCCATACAGGTACACATGACATACAGTTGTTGCAATTTATGTTCATAAAGTGTTGGAGACAATTATCTCCTCTGCTTTTTGGGTAAATAAAAGCACTCATTACCTAGTTCTGTAAAACAAAAAAAAACAAAAAAAGTCTACCTATGTGTAAAAGGAAAACTCAAATTTTTAAGACTGCTGAAACATTTAATCCAGCCTCACAGTAATAATGTACATGGCTCTGAAATGAGTGACAAGTTTGAACGGTTTTCCCATGCATAATTCTTTAATGATTTAAGTAACGTTTGTAGTTTTGATATGTTGTGCCTGACTTCAAGCCAGTGCAGTTATCTGCAGCTTTAGAGCTGCCATGTTTCCTGCTGTGATCAGCAAACGGAAGCTTATGAATAAAGTGTTTTCTCTGATGTGTGCACGGCAGAGCTGGACTGGCCCAGAGAAGCTGCTGGCGCTGGATGAGTTGATTGACAGTTGTGAGCCCACACAAGTCAAGCATATGATGCAGGTGATAGAGCCTCAGTTTCAGCGAGACTTCATCTCCCTGCTGCCCAAAGAGGTGAGTAGCGCTCCTTCCCCTAGCACCACCCAGATACGCCTGGCTTCAACTCTCCCAGGAGTACCTTCCGCTCGTTCCTGAGCCGACATACCTGACAGAAACAAGGGGCTCTTTCGACCTTAGTCTTGTTACATTCTAATCCCCACCATTTTAGGACATCCAGAGCTGGGGTATGGCTCTTGCTTCACAGAACTGCTGACAAATGCGAATGATCCGAAGTGTCAGACTGACGGATTAGTTTGCATGAAATATTCTTGTAAAAGAATGTCTTTCAACAGTATGTTGTGTTCCAGATCAAATGGATAACACCATTTCTGGCAGGTATTAGAATGGGGAGGGGGGTGTAGAATGACGCAATAAGATGCAAGAAATCAAGGTGTCAGAATCACTCGATTCAAAGGTAAACAAACAAACCACCTTTTGTGTGCTGGTTAGGAGACATCACTCTCCTCCCCATTCTGATTTTCCTTTGACATTTTTCTTTTGTTTTTTCCTCTATTTTGTTAACTTTGAGATCTTTTGATCATTTAATCTGATGGAAATAAATTGGAGTGGCAGGTAATTTCAGGACAATCCCTGTCACCACCTATTAAGTGCAGTTAGAACCAAAGCTATAAACTTTCTGCTGAAGACTTGTGTGCCTTACTTTAAAAGCAATAACCATTAAAGTTCTAAAATATCCCCAAGCCTGCTAATGAAATGCAGGATCAAACAGGCTTTTAGGTGATTGAAGTATGTCTTCCAAGCACTCTGGATGGCTTCTTTTTGGGGCAGGAGACTCAAAAGAAACTTAAAACTATACTCTAGCAAGTGAGAACCCTGAGGTGTGATGGGGGCCCTTTAAAGTCTTCAATACATTTTTTAAAATGTTCCAATTTCCCAATATTTGCCATCTGTAGATTTAAAATGGAGACACCCTTTGCTGTTCATAAAGGTGTGACAATTTAAGATAATCAGGTAGTTTTTTTTAAAAGACATATCATGATTAATAACCAGACCTGAAAGACAGCATTTCAGTTCTTGAGTAAATCTTCTTGGCCATTCTTTGATGGATTTGCTTTGAAGTCAAGAGTAAATTAAGTAAAAATGCTCATTCACTGGAAATTTCAGCAATAAAATGTAATACTGCTCAAAAGAAAAATTTAAATTAAGATGAAGAGGTCATTAAATAGTATTGCCAGTGAAAACTCACAAAGTGTAGAAACTGGAGATGGTGAAAGAAAATCTTAGAGCTGTTCAGCAGGTGGTTGATCGTCACAAAAGAAATCTGACTGAACCTGAAGGTTTGCTCTTTTTTTTATTCCATATAGACGATGGATTAATCTCAGTTGTAACTCTTTTCTTTCTTCTGAGTTTGACAAATTGATGTCAACACTGGTCATGTTTTGTTTTGTTTAGCGAGTGTGTATCAGAACTCGATGTTCTTTTTTCAATGTTCTTCAGTCTCTTAAAAATGCCATCTCTAGAAAAGATAATCATTTGTCTTCTTGGGTGTGTTTTTAACTCAAACCGCTTGTTTGTCAACAGCTGGCTTTGTATGTGCTGTCATTCCTGGAACCGAAGGACCTCCTCCAAGCCGCACAGACGTGTCGCTACTGGCGCATCCTGGCAGAGGACAACCTGCTGTGGAGGGAGAAATGCAAGGAAGAGGGTTAGTCTCTTTTAAACAGAACCATGTAGAAAATTAGCATGCTGTCACCCACTTTAAGTCATCCATAGATTCTGCTGTGGTCTGTGATGAGCTTTAGAAATGAACCTTTCTTCTTTAAAAAAAAAAAAAGTACTTTCATTGGAAACAAAAAAGTCCATTGGTGTAACTCTCTCACCCAACAGGTATTGATGAGCCTCTTCTTCTGAAGAAAAGGAAAATTGTCAAGCCCGGCTTCACCCACAGCCCCTGGAAGAGTGCCTACATCAGGCAGCACAGAATTGACACTAACTGGAGGAGAGGGGACCTCAAATCACCGAAGGTAGAGTTTTCTCCTCACTCAGATTCCCCACAGGTTAGATGCTCTTACTGATCTGACTTCAAATGACTTGTAGTCACAGACAGATGGCTCAGTAAGGTTCTGAAGTTGATTTAAAATCCGCGAGTGGCTCATGTCTGTCAGTATCATGTGAAACACTGAAAATATGATCTCCTTCAATCCCTAGCCTCTTTTTTGTTTCACCTGGGCATATGTCTGCCATAAAGCAATGCCCGGCATGGTAAAGCGGATTCCTAATGATCCATGAAGGCAATGGCTGATTTTGAAATAGCTGCAGGTCAAGTTAGGCCACTCCTGGCATAAATTGGGCTCCTGTGCTCCTTCCACTCCTTTGCATATGCAGTAAGTTGTGTGATTTGCTGAGCTGGCAGTCCTGTGACCCAGTAGCAGGGACCGCACATAAACACAGAGTCATGCGGCACTTCTGTGAGAGCTTTGTGCACCTGCAGGAGTTTCACATTTTCTGCGTATCTCACTTTCACTTTGATGTAGAAAGCCCCCGGAGACATGCCACTGTCAGTGTCAGTTCCTGTCATGTGCTTTGTCATCCCACATCCAGCTCCGTTCTTGGCCTCCTCATTGAGTCTCCTTTCATATGTCCCGTCTCAAGGTGCTGAAAGGACACGATGACCATGTTATCACATGCCTCCAGTTCTGTGGAAACCGCATCGTCAGCGGCTCCGACGACAACACGCTGAAAGTCTGGTCAGCTATCACAGGAAAGGTAAAAGTTGTTTCATTTGCTTCTTTCTTTGTTTTTTTTGTTTTTTTACATATAATAATTGATAAGCAAAGGAATGCTGAGATGTGACGTTCCATATAAGCTGCTGTCTGCTGAAAGCATTAACCCCTGCTGCCTTTTCAACACCCTGCTGTTTGGGATCGCTGATAAACAGGAGCGTAGATCTTACAGGATTCTCTCTGTCCCATCTTCTTCATGCATTTGTTTTGGGCAGTATATCCTGATCTTTCAGTTTGGAGCTGTATATTTTAAAAAAGCAATTGGCTTACTGTGGAGAGTGAAAGAGCCGCAGTGATTGTCGCCTCTTGTTCACCTTTGATATTGGACTTGAAATTAGATAAGGTTAGATTTAGGAAAAAAATGTAATTCCTTAAAGAAATTCACAATGTGCAAGTCCTTTTGTAAGAGGTTTCTTTTCATTTTGAGTGTAATAGACCAGAAATTTTAGTTTGCGTTGATGAAGAGACCTTTTCTTCAACACAAGGTTAAGTTGGCTCTTGCCCAGCCCGTGATTACATGCATATCCGTCACAGCATTTGCTACTCGGAACAGATTCAGCCAAGGTCATTCAGTAGGCACAGAATTCAGACTGGCTGTCGTTCACCCAAAGACTAATATGTAGATGACAGGTTGGTAAGTTAAAGCCTCAGTGGCTCCATATCGCTGACAGACGTCTGAGATGAGTCACATCACCAGCAGGCTCTGCTGAAAACTCCCATTTCTTTACGGTCTGTGTCTGGATGGATTGTTTACTTTGTTTATGGAGAACAGATGAGTCTAAAACCATTTGTTTGGATGCTGAAGTCCAAGCACAGATCCCTTCTTTGGACTTTATCTACTTTTGTCTTTAGCGCTTAACTCCAGACTGAATCAGTTGATGGAGGGGACCGGCCAATATGGCACAGTGAACCGTTTTGGTTAAGCATCTGTCAATGTCAGTAAAGCTGAAGGAAAAACACAATGGGATTACCAGCTCTTGCATGTGACTGTCCCCTTTGCTGTCAACATTCCTGAGAGTGTTTAGCCAGTTGATTTTAGGACACAACATGTTTTCCCCTCTGTGATAGAGACTTTTAAAATGCCCATCAGTGAATTGTTCTGTTACAGTCTGATACCCTTCATGGCTCACAGTACACGTCTACTTTATTTCTGCTCACCCTCATTAATGAGTTGTCAGGTTATCACCAATATACCATAGCAACAATTTGTTATTTTTACTATGCTGCCAGCCTCCTCTTCAGTAAAATCACTGATTCCTTATTCCCCAGCTGTGCTACTGACATTGGGGCTTAGCCTCTAGTCAGAATTGGATCCATAGAAGATGGCACGGTGGTGATTTAATTCTCTTTACTTTTGAAGTCTGATGCCATTACCCTGAAAATGTGTCCTCCTTTTCTTTGTAATTCTCCTCATGAAGCTTGCAGTCTAGGTTGTGGATTTAAATGGATGGAATGATAAAAGAATTTGTTCTTTGCGAGGTTGTGCCAGATTAAGGGCAGACAACCATTCTCATCTTGGGTTTCTGCTCTTGGGAAACCTTGGGTTGAACAATTTAGATCATTCGGAAAGATTCCCCAGTGGAGTGAATCAAATGCTGTTTTTGTGATTCAGTGTTTTCCTGCTCATCCCCCCCAACACGGCGTTTCCAACCCAACACATTTTAACAGATGTTTTATCCATTTTTTTTACTGGATCTGTACCGAGTGTAAATGAAAAACATTATCTTAAACGGTCAACAAAACATTAGAAGGTTACCATTTGATCCTTGATTCACACAGTGAGTTCACCCCATGCTGTGAGGCAGCCAGGGAATTATTATAGGAGGTCGTTGTGTGAATCTATCTCACCTCTGTACAACAGGGCCACTGCCTTATTGTCCACTGCGAAAACTATATGCATAGCATGGAGGGAGCCAAACGTGCATGTGGAGTTTAGGTGTGCTGTTGTTTAGCTCGGGCTTCAGTCGGTGGGCTTTGGTCTGTCCTCGTCTTGAGCTTCTCCCAGAGCTGTCAGTTTTTCCATCTAGTCACACCAACAGCTCTCACTGCTTCAAAGGTGGCTGCTGGGTGTTTAACTGTGCAGAGCGTGTCCTTGGTGGTGCCTGTCAGCAACAGCCTCGACTGTCACACAGATTTAAGATGGCAGACCTGCGGCCCGCCGCTGACGCCAGGAAGAGAGGCCCTTCGTTAGATGCTTTTCTTTCTTCTTTTCTGAATGAAAAAGCTTCAGACATTAACAGAATGTTTTACAGTTAGCAAAATGAAGTTGTTTAGAATTAAAGGATCATTTTAATGCTTGAATCAAGGCTACAGTTGTGCAATATCTGTAACATGGCTCTCTGTTCTGATCATGTTTCTCTGTGGAACAAAGCGGATCGTGATGGACCTGTATTTTTGTGATGCGTGTCATCCTATCAGGACATGAAGCCAAACGAAACCAAACACATCATCAAATCAGCTGCATGACAGCTGTAAAAGAGCAAACGCTGTCCATCACCAACATAAATTTAATAGCACCAGCTTTGTTCTCCCATCGTCTTTTTACTTTAACAGGATTTGAAGTTGAAGTTGTGGTTGTCACAGATGTGACATCTGTTAAACAAAGAAAGAAGCAACCATAGGAGGAATTGTTGAAGAAAGAAATGTTTCTTCTTTTCACTGAAATGCTGTGAACATTTTCACAGATTTCACCATCCTCTATTCAGCATGGCTTCTTATTTTTAGCTCAGATGATATTCTCAACAGGCTGTCATGTGGCATCTTTAACCCTTTTTATGTATTTCCTTTTGAGATGAGATTATAGTCACATTTATCTTTTCATTTATGTGGTATTAGCCTATAATTATCTGATGGATTTACCTAAGGCTGTTTAATGTAATATTTAAGAAAGCATGAGCTCACTACACATTTAGCCCCAGTGACCCTTAGCTTCTGATATTTACTGCTATGGTCAAAAGATTTTCTCTACAAAGTGAAGTCTTTCATCCCATGTCCCTCGCGGTGTCCATATTCTTGGCTGCTGTACCAAATGATTTTCCTCTTGTTTTTCTTGAAACAAAGCGAGGATTTGATTTAGATGTAAAGCATTGTGTGAAACGCCTTGTGTGTTTAAAAGGGGATTTCACATGTTCAGTAAAACAGTGCTAATCTTTAGTCATTCTCAGGGACAAGCTTATTTTACATTTCCTGAGCAGACAGATAAAGATGTTTAAGCCCTTCATTTCAGATATTGTGTCTTCCTACGCAGTGTTTGAGTAGGCTCTAATCACACTTAGGCTTGTACCTAGAGACTTCTAAGTGATTGGCTCGAGAAGAATTTGAAATTCTTGTTTGCAGCAAAATTTGTGCTAGCCTGTTTGTGAAGTATGGGCAGCAAATTGGTTTCATCCACAGCGATCTGATTATGCGTCCTGATATTCTACAGATTGGACATGTTTTTCCCTCCTTACTTTGCAGCGTTCCTCTGCTGACTGATTGGGCAAGCCTGATATGCTCAGAACGTCAATGAAGAGCCTAAATGTGGATGCTTTTATCACTGAAGTCTTGACATTCGATAATTAACAGACAGAAGTAGGAAGACTGGCTGCAGCATCTTCTTTCTTCTTCCCAGGCTGCAGTGAAACCTCTCCCTCCTGCACTGCCAGTCACTCCTCATCTGCTTATCAGCAGCAGTCCAGGGGTCACATGTTATACACTCCAGCTGCATGCTACACGCTGAACCGCAGATAACCAGAGCCACAGCCTCCGTTTGCTCCTTTCCCTGGAGAATTTCAATTTAGTGCTTTTAGGATAATTAAATGGGGCCACAAATGGGACAAACTGGAGCCGCAAAATTCAATTGATCAGAAAGATTTCCATAACTGCTGTGATCAATAGCTAATCTAGCATCCCTAATAAGGACAAATGGATGCATTTTATTGTGTGCTGTTGTCAACTCTTTAAGGAACAAGAATGAATTGGCTGCTTTGCCATAAAATAAGTAAAAGCAATCAAAGGATCAGGCAGAGATCTGAGAATTTTTCCCCGAACAGCAGCAGTCTGCGTACGCTCTTTTTTAATTTGATTTCTTTCTTGTTCTTTTTTTTATTTCCAATAAAAGGTTGCATAAATGTGATTTTACATTCGCCCCACCCTTAAGGCAGAACGAGTTCATGCAGGAATAAAATCCCTAATGAGACTTTGAGTGTGTGATCTGAGGTTTGATATGAATGAATGGAATTACTCCGAATGTCTTTCAAACCAGCTTTCATTGCACAAAGTAGCCGAGAGGAATGTGCTGATCATGGCTCCTCTGCTCCTGCAGTGTCTGCGGACGTTGGTGGGCCACACAGGGGGCGTGTGGTCCTCCCAGATGCGAGACAACATCATCATCAGCGGCTCCACCGATCGCACACTCAAGGTCTGGAATGCAGAGACGGGAGAATGTATCCACACCCTCTATGGGCATACCTCAACAGTGCGCTGCATGCACCTACATGAGAAAAGGTATGGTGCGATTTCATTAGAAAACGCTGTCAGAAGTTTCTGAGCGATGGGTTTGTCACAGATGTTTCCTTTACTGTAACTGTAACTTAGATATTACACTTTAGAGGGGGGAAAAAATCTTTATTTTTGACAAATAATAAAACGAACACTTATACTAGATTTATTTTATTATTTAATGTGCGGTATCATTTTCCCAAATACACTGATTAGATATAAAATCACAGCTAGCAGCCACTTAGCTTGTCAAAAACACTGTAAGGAAATGGAAGTGCCAATAATAGATGTGTATAAAGTCACATTTAAAAGACTTTTTCAGTTAACCAAATCTTTAATTGTAATTAGTAATTAGTCAAATTAATTGTAGTTAAGGTAGGAAACCAGTTAAACATTTCTTTACTGTACCCCTTGATTAATAACATCCAACTCCAATCATGAAGAAAAGAGCAACAGCAGCTCTAAAAGGACTGCAACTAGGAAAGTGAGCATGCGGTTTCATAGTGATTAAATAGACCCTGTGAGCTGTATTAAGTGAACTGCTGCTCACTCGTTCACTCAGTATCACACTCAGGAGACTCAAAGTGCTCTTCTCGCCTTAGGGCCCACCAAGGTTTTTGTGTAGTATTTGATTACTCACTCAGCCAAAAGACTGAGCGGCAGACAATGAATAACATGTTGGTGTTTTCCATCCATGTACTGCTGTGAGGCATGTGCTAAATAAAGAGCACACGCTGTGTGTGGCTGCAGTATTTTCTGTGTAAACAGCATGTGAAACATGACATACTTGGGGACAGTTTTTCAGTTTTTGTTCAGGTTTCTACAATCAAAATTCAACTCTTATTGTAATAAAACCATAATGATAATAAAACAAACAAGTAACTCCCCAATAGAATGTGCATTTACGCAACCTTACCGTATCACCCTGTATGAGGACATGTCTCAACTGAAAGAGGGGTTTTACATTCAAGTGCGAGCATGAATGTATGCTGCAGAGGAAGGAAAATGTTCATAACAGCCTCATTATTCTGTCAGTGCAGCTGCTACAGTATGAATGAGGGCTTTTTGTGTTTAATCTTCTCACAGAGGCACACGTGGGAAAATATTACCTGTGCATGAACGTTTAGCTGGATGCATTTGTTGGATTTACGATGACTTTTTGACTGCGCCCACTCCCTCCACCCACACTTACACCTGACCCGACTGTCGTCCTTAAAGAGTGTTTAAACGAAAGTGTACTCACCCTGTGCTCATGTTTCTTTCAGGGTGGTCAGCGGCTCTCGTGACGCTACGCTTCGTGTTTGGGACATTGAGACTGGTCAGTGTTTACACGTCCTCATGGGCCATGTGGCGGCGGTGCGCTGCGTGCAGTACGACGGGCGAAGGGTGGTCAGCGGTGCCTACGACTTCATGGTCAAAGTGTGGGACCCAGAAACGGAGACCTGCCTGCACACACTGCAGGGCCACACCAACAGAGTGTACTCCTTACAGGTGACCCCCCTTGCATGGACCTGCACCATTGGAACACACATAAAAAATAAACTCAACTAAAAGATCTGTTTTGGGGCTTGAAACGGAAAAAAGTTGCCAATAGGACTGTTCTTGCCTTTATATTTATCTTTTTTTATATTTGATTCCCGCTCTGTAATGTTTAATGTCTTTTGCTCCATTTGTTGTTGTTGATTCAGATGAATAATCATGTGTCCTTTGCCGTGTCTTCCTTCCACACTGTTTGATGACAGAGCACTTGAGCTCAAGTGGAGGCTCTCTGCTGGGCTGATAGATTGGTTTTTGTTTGGCCCTTCTTTATTAGAGTTTTAAAGCGTTGGTTCTCTGTCATTTGCGGCAGGGACAAAAAGACGAGCAGCAACAGATCAATAATATTAATTCATTTTCATAGAGTTAATCTTAATTTTGGCTGTAAAAGTGCTGCGTCAAGTAAGATGGTGTTGCCACTTACTGAAAGTCAGGAGGACAACTGCAGATGTGTGTGACATCTTGAATAGCAGCCTGTTACAGCGGATCTGTTCTGTCTGCAGTTCGATGGGATCCATGTGGTGAGCGGTTCTCTGGATACGTCTATAAGGGTCTGGGACGTGGAGACGGGCAACTGCATCCACACGCTAACGGGCCATCAGTCCCTCACCAGCGGCATGGAGCTTAAGGACAACATTCTGGTCTCAGGCAACGCAGATTCCACTGTCAAGATCTGGGACATCAAGACGGGCCAGTGCCTGCAAACACTGCAGGGTGAGTCGCATCCCACTTTTCTATTTAAACTCAATCCAAAATTAAACTGAAGAAAATAAAAAGAAAGTGATTTGTTTATCATTTAAGATCATTAATTATGTTAGTGGAGCTATTACAATGACCATTCCATTTCTACTAAAAGATGTACCCATTTTTCTAAGCTTGAGGAACTAAACCGCAGGTGTGGATAAAAGTCTCTTCCACATGGTTAAGCTTGTTGAACAAGTGGTTTGTCAAAGGCTTCTTGTTGGTTTTCCCAGGCTTATATTACACGCACAGTGGCTGCCAACTAAATACGTGTCATCTGGGTTCCCCCTCTCAACTGCCACCTCTTAGCTGTCTGTGTGTCACACAAAGACATTGGCAGTCGCTTATGCGGGTTTCTTATTTGCAGTTAATGATGTAATCATTACAATTCTCTGAAAAGTTGATTCACCTTAAGACCCAGCCCAACTTGATCATGCCCATCTACTGCTATGATGTCATAGAGGTCAGACCTGTTCTGCTATGGCTTGCAGCTGAAACACCTTGTTCCCATTGCATGAGTGCAGGTGGTGGATTAGTGGATTGTATCTTAAAACGATGGTAAACAAAGGTTGTTGATGTATCCCACCAGTTGTGTAACTAATCAGGCAGGGATGGAAGTGTTGGGAATATCTAAATCTGAAGTAAAGATGTAACATTGAACATTCTAACAAGCCACACCTTGTCAGCTTACTGGTCCTGGTTACAGTCTCTTTTCCTTTGTGTGTGATTGAGTAGCTCTAACTCCATTAGCAGTACTTTGCATCTCCCAGGAAGTTGGGAAATCCTTTTCTGAATAGGAGAAGACAGCTCGTCGTACCCCGCCCCTGAATGCACTCATTAGCAAACTACAACATTGCACGCTGGTTCTTCAAAGCCCAACACTCACCGCAGCCGAACAAAAGGATGCCTGAAGAGAGAGGGAGGGACATGAAGGGGGGGAGGTGGATGAATGCCTGTCTCGTCAATGAGGGAGTGGAGCAGTACAGGACTGGGGGCCGCTGAACTTTGTAGGTCATTTAATTGGGTCAGTGGACAATTTCAGCCACTCATTAGAGTGTTTTGATAAGACAATAGTCCGACGAGGCCCATCACTGTCATTTGAAGAGAGTATAGGTAATGATGGAGCAGGCTTCTTTGTTGTGGTAACGGGTAGAGCGGAGGGGGGGTGGCGCAGGCTCGTTGGGGGTTGGGAAACTGTCGAATTCCCAGGTAAAGAACTCAGCTGTTAAACCCACCACAGGCTCAAATGGAAAATGTGCTTAGATTAAAAATGTTTTCTTCTGAAAATGCTTCTGAAATTAGAGATACATTCATTATTTGGCATAAAAAGTATTTAGTTATTCCAAAACTAGTCTCTGTGCTTGTGTTTTTGGCCATATTGACTTAAGATTTTATATTTAGGCTTTCTCATAGAAATCACAATAAACTGCTAATTTACAGTTATAAATAAAGTCCCGGTAACACCCCTACCCTCACGTCATCTGCGGCCTCCTACACAAATAGAGCTGGCAGAGGAGTAGCTGGAGCTGCTAAAACCGCCATGACAGAGGCGGGCCTTACCACAGCTCGCCCTGAAGCCCCCCCCACCCCCCCGTTCTGTCACAACACACTGACAGATGTTTTAGTGTCTGTTCTGTATTCATTTCAAGTCCCCCAATTCACAGTGCTCCACCACATTGCTTCCTTTTTTCCTTAACAAGTGATAAGTTTTGGCCAAATTGCTATTAGAACTGTGGAGTTCCGAGACATGATTTCCCCCATAAAACTGTTCAGAGCTGATTTGCTCGGTGAACTTTTTCGTTCTCTTTCTTTTCCTTTTCTTAAAGTCACAGTGACCTTAAGTTTTTGATGTCTGAAAGGGTGTTCCTCATTTTATGGCGCTCAGCGTCTTTTACAATGCCCAGCAGGACAAAAGCCAGAGTCCACCAGTACTCATCCATCACTCAAAACCCTTTAAACGTTAGATGCAGGTGTTTCTTGGCAAAGCCTCAGCAGCAAGGAGGCTTTTGTTTGGTTGGGTCAGTGTTTTCCAGCACTGCCTCTACAGCCTTTAACATTTACTGAAAGAGGCTTGGGCAGAGTTAGTGGCAAGTGTCATTTAGAGCAGGTGTGTTTTGGCAGTGTAATCAAATGTCTGAAAACATTAAAAAATTCAGAACTTGATATGATATACCTGCTATTCCACGCTCCTAACCATCCCATTTGTCTCGTGTTTCAGGTCCCCACAAGCACCAGAGTGCTGTGACGTGCCTCCAGTTCAACAAGAACTTTGTCATCACCAGCTCTGATGATGGCACAGTGAAACTGTGGGACCTGAAGACGGGCGAGTTCATCCGGAACCTGGTGACCCTGGAGAGCGGCGGGAGCGGCGGCGTGGTGTGGCGCATCCGCGCCTCCAACACCAAGCTGGTGTGCGCAGTGGGCAGCCGCAACGGCACAGAGGAAACCAAGCTGCTGGTGCTGGACTTTGACGTGGACATGAAGTGAGAGGGAGGACATGTTTGGGTCGGACGGCGTGAGCGAGAGGAAAGAACAGAGGGGGGGGAAAAAGGGAGATGAGGTGCCTGGAAAACCATCGGGCCAACACCCCAAACTCTTGAGGCAAACACAGGAAATCTGCAGTCACCATAGTGGAAAAAGCGGGCTTGGCAGTCCTCCGCTACCATCACCGGTTACTAGCCCCGTCCTACTGGGCAGATGTCACCGACGGCTGATCGGTGACTTGTAGGCTCTCCCCCCCCCCCCCCGGCTTTTGACCTTCCTCCCACCTGCGCGAGGTGGACTCGTCGGAGGGTCAGGATAGAGGCGGGGCTCGGAGGCACAGCCGCGGTGTCCTTTATTGGCGGGGAAGAGGAGGAAAGAAAACAACGACTGAACTGTCCCGCAGCGGCTCCCCACCTCTACGGGTCAGGGTCAGCTTCGCACAGAGGCCTGGTTTCGCTCAAGCCTGACAAATTTTGAGATGTACAGAGATATATTATTTTTTAAAGGTCCCCCTCCACCTCCCCACAACCCCTCCCATCAGTGAGCGCCCCCAGACACAAGCATCACACAAACGGCCAACTCTCAAGTGGAGAACCATTGACCGTGGGTAAAGATTGAGGAAGGCGGGTGATGTTAGAGGTGAATTTTCACACACAGTTACTCCTAAAGAGCTGCTTGATGTGTTGGAGAGAAAGGAAGCGTTTGGAGGGTTCAGCCTGTAATCGGGCTCATTTCTTTTCACTCCATTTCCGTTCCAATTGTTCTCCACTTGGTTTGATTTCTCCACGGCACCGCACACAAACACAACTGTGAATTTCAATACTTTTATGATTTATCATATGAAAAGGGTTTTTGTTTGTATTTTTTTTTTCTCTTTTTTTGCTCAAATCCCAGTATTAGAAACCCACCCTGTTTAGATATGCTGTCTTTGTCCTGATGATTTTATGAGTTTTTCGTCCTCCCTCCCTGTTTTCTACATACCTGGGTTTGGGGCTCTGTCTCCACCTGAACGTCAGTGCTGTTTAGAGTTTGTCAGAGTCCAGCTCAGGTGGTTTTCCCTCAGTGCCAGTGCTACAATGAGAGGAAGGTTCTTTGCTCTAAGCACTGTGGATTAATTCCCCCGAGAACTCCTCATCCCCTTCCCCTCGACCGTTTTTCCCCGAGTGGCCAAACTGTTTTCATGCTGCTAGATGAATGGAAAAAAAAAGAGACATGGAACTTATATTTGCTGTGACGTTTTAGTCCCAGGCGAAATTCCAAATTGAACTCTGTATGTTTGGACTTAAAGTAACTCAAAAATGACAAGATAACATCCTACTTTTTTTTTTCTCTTCTTTTTATCATTTTGTTTATTTTTGCCACTGAAACTTGAGCCAAACGTGCCTCTACGAGGCTGAGAGGCGGAAGCGTGTCTGACGGATACTGATGGGAGCGCCTGCAGAGAGGAAATGAGGGGATGTACACTGTTGGCGTGCCTGTGTGTGAGTGCATGAGTGCGTGTGTTGTTAGCGTGTTAATGGGCACCTCGTAAACACATTCCTTGGGACAAAGCTTTTTCAGCCTGGTCTTTTGGGAAATGTACAAACGCTGTGTGGACTGGAAAAAAAAGGAAAAAAAAAATCAAACTAGCAGATGTATCGATTTTAACACGTGAATGAAAGAACTGTCCGTATTTGTGTGTGATTGTTGTTCCATTCTAAGATGTCTAAAGCAACAGAGGAGAACTTCATCAACTGACAGGTGGAGCTGCCCAGGCCAGAGTGGTAGTGTTACACGTTCTGCAGTCCGAACCACCGCCGGTGGGGAAAAAAACAATACACAAAGGCAACAAACGTGAACAGAAACATTGTAGCCAAACAGAAGTCGTCTCAATCTCCAAGAGTCACAACTCAAGCTGAACTGTGAAAGTGGTATAACACTGTATATTAAAAAAGAAAAAAAAAGAAAACAATCTCACTCTATCTCCTCTTGTTGTTTTCTTCGTCTGTTTTAATTTATGGTCTGGTTTGAGAAATCAGATTTGTTGCAGGTGTTTTATTTTGTTCAGTTCATGTAAACTGCCTGGCAAAAAAGAAAACAGACAAAAAAACCTGAAAGGGATTGTGTATTTGTTTGATTCACTTAGAATTTTATTTTCTTATAACTTAAGTGCAATAAAATGTGGGTTTTTCTTTTTTCATTTCAAGCATATCAAGTTGTCTCTTTTTGTTACCGCTGTGAAGGCATCTTATATGTTCAATAAAGCAAATTATTTGGTTTGATACATTTACACGGGAATAATTGTAGAGTGTCAGTCAAAGCATCAAAGCTGTAAGCTTTATAACAGCAGTTATTTCAAATTCATGCTGCGCTGGTCTCTGATAAGTGGCAGCTTGTTAAATCTGGTGTTGGAAGAATGAGACGACAACCATGGCACCATGTCAGGAGGACTTGGAATGTATTTAACAAAAGGTAATTTACATGTTGTCAGAGAAGTAGAGTCAAACCACGAGGTTGAAGTCATAACGGACAATAGTTTAAAAACATTTGAGACCAAAAAAGAATTGAGAGACCATTTCATCCTCTGGTCACTGTTCGCTGTGGCCATAGTTTGCATTTTCATTTCAAATAAAGGCACTTTGAACATTCTGCACAAACTGCAGTTCACCTCTGATACTATAGCAGCATATCTGACATCACCACAAAAACCCATGGTTTCCGGTCTAAATGGTTGCTCCAGGTAGTCTGATCTGGAAATGTACAATCTCAGATTGGCGCAATCAATTCCATAAGAAAAATACTGAACTCTCCCTGCTGGAAACAAATGGCGCACATGTCGGCGATTATTTTCAGCTCTTCCAGGGAAAGGAAGAGAAACCACAGAAGTCGCGTTCATACGATGAATGAGCCCTGGTTTCATGTTATGGGGCTGTGAAGGGAACCTTTATGGAGCTCAGACACTTTGTGGCTCTGTTGATAAAAGAGTGGGCTAGTTTTCTCCTTTAAGAATTATTTTTAGAATTATATGCGTAACTATTTTATATCATTGAACATTTATATTCCAAACCTATAAGAAAAATTGATCATCTAAACAGGACGAAAATTAAGATCAGCAACTGTGACTTTGGTTCACAGTTGCTGATCAGCAGATATAAACATTGGGCTAACATTCAGGACATTGATGTTTAGGATATTTATCTTCTTCAGGAGTGTTGGGAAATGTTATTTGTATTTTTCCAGCAGTGATTCTCCATAAATTGTGTCTTAGTAACCTGAAGAATCACAGAAAAGGCCTCTGGCTGTAATCCTGGTGTAATTCTATCAAGTGTGACAGCTGTGATATTTCCCTCCAAGTCCTCGGTCTAATTCTTGTTTGGAACCTTTCGGGAGTGTTTTCTTTTTCCCAGAATGCAGCAAACATGTTGCATTCATTCGGCTCTCCGCTTTATTTGACGCTCCATTAAGGCGACGTGGGGAACAATCTGAACATGACCCTGTTTTTTTGTTTTTCCTCTCAGACCGTTATCCGTCATGAGGCCATGCAGCTCTGTGCTCTGCTGCACATTCTCTCCTGCCTGTTGCCTAGCGATGGCTCTTCTCTGGCCTGGGTTCAGAGCTCAGTGTCCACTGGCAGTATCAGCAGCATTGTGTGAAAGCAGGACGCGTGGGGGAGCTTCCACCATGGTTGGCCAGGTTATTCTGTGGGCTCGATCATGGGATGGAGCTACGTGCCATGCATACAGCTGCTCTGCTCCAAGCTTGTTTGGGGAAGCTTTAGCTTAAGAGGAGCCGTGTAATCGGCTACAGTAAGGCTGTGATTCAGATTCCGTCGTGTTCTTCTGTTCTCATGGTCCTTTGAG